CCAGCTACTCAGGAGGCTGAGGCAGGAGGATAGCTTGAGCCCAGGAGTTTGAGGTTGCAGTGAGCTATGATGATGCCACTGCAATCTAGCCCTGGCAAAGAGCAAGACCCTGTCTTTAAAAAAGAAAAAAAAGCTAACAAAAGCCAAAACATATATAGTACCTACCATGTGCCTGAGACACATGGAGGTCAGATAATTTGCCTAAGAAAACATAGCTGGTAAATGCTAGAGGTAGAGTCAGAACGCAGTCCATGTGGTTTTACGGTCTGTGCTTTTAACTAGTATATACCATTAAGGAAGATAAGCTGTTTAGCAGTGCTTGATAAGTAGTAAGTTTTCAATAAACACTCATAATTTTCTTGTGGTTCTAAGTTAGGCTTGGGATGGTCTGTCTGCCATAGGATCACTTCTATATAATACTTAAAGGTCTGTAGAAACAAAGATATGGGTAATTAATTATATTGTCACCCTCTGTCAAATTTTATTAGAATATTGGGAAACTTATTTAAAGAGATTTACAAAGATCTAGAAATAAAGAAAATAGTAAAACTATGGTTTTTAAAAAAAATTAATGTAGCAATTATTGAATTTTTACTCTGTACAGATCACCGTTCTAGTCCCTGGAATTAAAAAAAAAAAAAGTAAGATCAATAAGATATGAGTCCTGCCTGTGAAGGAACTTAAAACCTAGTAATGATCACGGAGTGCGTAACATGTAAGCGAGAGAACACAGAAATGCCACATGTGGAATGGTCTAAATTTGAAGTTCTGAAATAGAACCCTAGAGTCAAAGTAGCTGTGTAATGGGGGGATGAATCACCTGTGCTCTCTAAATCTTAGTTGTTTTGTATTTTTGTTAGAATGGTGGTTGTTGGTATCACCGTCTAAATCTTTAAAATGTAGGTAATTATGCCAAATTCATGCTTAATGATAATTAAAATAAATCACCATGGTCCTTGGAAGAGAGTAAATTTTCAGGGAACAACTATTGCAAAATAAGCAGCTTTAAAAAACGTGTCTGCATGGCTCATTCAGGGTAGACAGACGAGCACCCTCCTGCCAGAGGCGGCGGGGGGTGCCTCCCACGTGCTGTTCCAGGGCCTTGGAGGAGAAAATTACAGAGGCCAGAACTGGGCTTCTAGACCGTGATTCCCTATCATCTTTTTTTTCTTACGGAGATATAAAAAGAAAACTGAAATATAAGAAAGGTGATATATATGTGTGTGTGTGTGTATTTTGTTGTGTGTTTAGGAGCCTTGAGCTAGGCAATTCAGGGGAGACGTCACTGGGGAGTTCAGTAGAGAGAAGGGAAAAGCCGGCTGTGAGGCGATACAAGAACTCCACCGAGAGGCACAGACCTGGGAGGAGGCCTGCCTTCGTGCTGGGGCCCAGGGCAAGCCACAGAGGCCCTCTGAGCCGCAGTCCCCACCACTGTAAATTGAGGGGATGGATTATATCCATGATTCTCAAATCCGGACGATTGTATTATTCCTATGGAGAGCTTAGGAGGCCCAACCTCAGAGCACCAAGGTCTTTTAAAAAGCACCTCAGGTGATTTTAAGGTACAGTGAGGATGGAGAATCAATGGAGAGGATGATCACTCGGGTTCTGCAGAAGAGATGCCAGGGGCCACCCGGTCTTGCTGGAAGAGTGGGTACTGGGTTCTGTTTGGAGTTCTGGTCAGAACCATGTTGTAGAGGGTTTTAGACTAAGTGTCTGTCTGTAGGTCATTGCACATGAATGAAGGTTTTTATATAAAAAGAGTTGAAAGCAGTGTTCTAGAAAAAAATTCTTTCTATTGTCTGTAGGTAGTGGAAGGAGAAGAAAGAGGGAACTAAAAGCAGATGTATGAACTATGGGTGTGAACTAAGGTGTTAGCAAACAAAACTGAGTCAGGCGTGCTCTGGACTGCCACAATCCAATAGAATTATAGCACTATTTTTTAATAAGACTAATTTAAATAGTCCTGAGTTTCCATTATAACTGATATGAGCCATGACAAATGAAAACCATTAAATCATTACTATCAAAATGGTCTGTGTTTTTAATAAGGGATAATTATCAGAGAAATATGTAGCATAACATGGATATGAAAAAGGGGTGCTACTAAAATCAGAAGCAGTTTGAAATCAAATTTCGTTCTCACATGGTCATCACTATATATAAATAAGCAAGGAAGATTTCATTTATATGAATTATCTGTTATAAGTTATTATGTCAAAACCACACTTAATTTCATAAGCTTCCACCAAAGAGTGAACAAGAGGGACTGTGGAAGAAATATCCTCTGTATTCCTCTCCCTTTTAAAAACAAGATTACCACTTACCAACTTCTTGGGCTTTCTTTAAAAAGCATTTTAAATTATCTGTCAAGATAGCATGTGATGCCTGGTAGCCTGACCCCTTGTGAACTAATACTCTCAAGGCTTCCAAGCAAAAGCAGAACCATGTAAGAGTCCAGAGCCAAGAGGAAATGTTGTCTCTGTCCAAGTCTTGTAATACTTACATACTAAACTATTCACATGATGAGATGTTTTGCTAAAAGCCTGTTAGTCCCTCAGCCTGTTAGTATCTCTTTTAGAGATAACTTTCTTTTTTTGTAAAGAATCTGATTTTCCTGTGAATAACTTTGATGACTAACTTTTCCATTGTGTCCTGAATTGTTAATGGACAACCTCAAGTATTTAGATTCATAGACTGTGTTAGGTGGTAATTAATCTCACTGAGTTCATGTATAAAAGGTCTAAGTTTTCATTCTAACTGATGTGAGCCGTGACAAATGAAAACCATTAAATCATTGCTATTAAATTGTTGTGGTTTTTTTTCCTGCTGATTTTGAAGAATATCCAAGTTAAATTATGTCCCAGAGGACTTAATTTTCAGCCTTAATTGTCTAAGTCCATATCTTCTTTTGGACTTTGAGGAGATTTCCATATTAATGCTAGTAAAGAGTCATGAAATTCTTGGAGGAAGAGTTCTGCTAACCATAAAATCATTAGTCAAATTACTAGAATTAAAAAATACATGTTTATTTTAAAAATGTGCCAATGAAAGAATTACTTCAAGGTCTATTTTAGAATAGAAACTTCAGTGTATGTAAACATAGTGGACTTCCATGGAGTCTTGCAGATATTCTTTAAATGTTTGTTGACTAAATGAATGAATCATCAATAAAGCACGGAGAGAGCTGTAATGCAAATTTATTATAACCATTCAACTTTAAAACGGCATCTCAAGGGCACAGGTGTTACACCTGTTCTCAAGGACAGGACTTTGCATGGTGAGGAGCCCACTAGGAGTTAGTTAGACCACGATAAGGAGAGGATAGTACGGACAGCCACCTCCCCTGGGAAATTATAGCTAAGTGCTTAGCACATAATAGACAATGATAATATTTAATTGAATTGTTAACTCCAAGGTCTATGTTGGAACTTTATTTTCAAGGTCTATGATAGAATACTCTCTTCTAGGTGAAATTACCTTATAACAAACTGCTTCTGGCACATAAGAACTTAAATTTGTGGAGTCAGTATTAGTTTTCCCACTACATGACTTCATCCGACAGAAACTGGAGCCTTACAGAGAATTGTATCAGGAGCTGCTCTCAGCTGCCTTTGACAATTCATGGAGCAGTTTTGCTGATAGCTTAGTATGTATGTAGTCCACCTGGGAATCTTTGAAACTGCAGGGTCTGATTCAGTAGGTCTGAGACAGGCTCCATCTCTAACAGGTTTTCAGGTGATATTGATGAAACTGGTGTCTGAGTCACACTTTGAGCAGCAAGATTTTAAGAGGTGGATTTCTAAGTAGTTAGGTTAAGACTGATTATGTGAACATAGATGAGTCACTTGACTTTTCTGAATTTAAATACTCTCATTAGAAAAAAAATGAGTATAATATTATATACTAAGACATAATATCTACCGTATAGAATTGTTGTGAGAATTAAATTAATAATGTAATATGAAAAGTTACTAGAGCATATGGTATATAGTCATTGCTAAATCAGTGACTAGTAAAAACATAAGCACACAGCTCCATTGGTAACTGGTAAACATGAGGGGACCAAGAGACTGTGTGCTTTCTATACATCAAAGGATTCTAGTCTTCATTCCACTTTTTTTTTTCTTTTTTGCCAATTACAATGTCTAGCGCTTAACAAGAGATCTCTGTCTATGGAATTGTATTAGTAGCGTAGTTGATCACTGCCAAGTGTACACTTTTGGTTTCAAAGACATTGAATATTAGAATAACGACCCAATGTCTCCCTGTGGTACTAACAGGAAAAAGAACATTCACTGTAGAAAATGGTAATAACTTCCAGGCCTTGAGTCCTCTTTAAGCCTAAGTATCATCACTGGGAGAAGACTCAAATGAAGAAGACAACCAGCCCTGATTTTTAATAAAAATATGATATAAAATAGCTCATTATTCTTTTCCAGCCAGCGGTAGTTTCTAATTTCCAGTCACAGTAGTTTCTAATTTCATAAATCATGTATGAAATTGTTCTCTTGTATATACAAAACCAAAGATTAACATTGGCAGTTTGGCCTGACTTGTCCCTGTTAGCTAGGAGCTCAACCTGCAGTGGTGTGACCAGTACTACAGGGTCCCAAATCTTCTACAGCACTGTACGGTGGCTTCTGTGCCACCCAGATAATGCCCCCAACATTACTCTTCTGAGGGTTAAAGTTTCTTGTTAATGAACTTGCAAACTATTGAATGTCACTCTCGAGAAGTGCACAGCAGGAAATAGAAAGTAGAAAAATCAGAGAATAACCTGCCGCATCATTTACATCTTAACGTCTCTTTCCACTGAGAATTCAGAGAGAGAAAGAAACTGTTAGCACCTTGAGACAGTGTAGTTTAATTTGTGTGCAGTAAAATCAAAGTGAAATCAGCTAACTTTTGCTAAAAGAAATGAGATTTTAAAGTCTAATCAAAAGATTTAAGCAGAGTGTTATTAAGAGATGTTCTGCCCCCACCCCTATTATCTATAGGTCCCAGGAGAAAAAAGAAGAAGCTATCACCTTACTGAAGGATTCCATCAAATATGGTCCAGAGTTTGCAGATGCATATTCAAGCTTAGCTTCGTTATTGGCTGAGCAGGTAATTGTTTCAATTTAATTTCACACGATATTTTTTAAATGTTCCTGTTGTGTGTATAAACTAATGTTGCACAGATTTTTGTACTAATGGTTTAATTTGTGAGCTCATATTGGACCACTCATCTCTAGTTCAGTTTCTTTTTTTTGACACATGACAAGCCTAGTTTTCTCATTCCAATATTCTGTATGTATTGTAGGTGGCCTTTAGACAAAGATGGTCCCTTTGTGGCCATTGATATAGTCTCCATCACTTGGGGACAAAATCAGTAAAGAACAATACATGATACTTACTGTTTTTACTATTACTTACTTGTCATATTTTTCTAGGGAATTGCTAATTGACTAAGAACTCGAAACTCAATATGGAGCCAATTACTGGTAATCCTGTAGATCCTATATCTTAATGCCTGTTAGAATATTACAGAGGCTTATAGGGTGGGCTCCTATGAGAATGTTTCTCACAGCATGAGACAGATATGTGTTTTGAATACCCTCCTGCTTTTCACTTGTGTCTAAGTGACTTAATACCATTTTCAGAGTCCTGGGTGCTTGTCCTCCTCCCACTATGGGGAAACATATAAGTTGTCTTCCCTCTAAATTTATGGTATAGTTTTGTTGACACACAGAAGTGCCCTTGATAGACGCTAGATTCTGCTATTACAAAATTGCCAGATTGTCTTTAAAATCAAGCTCAACATCTTTGCAAGATGCCCTGCAGCATTCAGTTGGCTTAAAGGTAATAAATGACTTGATACAGCATGTCAGTTATATAAGGAGCAATTTGCATTAAAAAAAAAATGTTGCAGTTCCCATCAAGAAGCAAAATTAGGACATTCTATGAATATTTATGTGACAGAAATTATAAACCTGATTTTCTTGCTCTAATTCTCGTTGTAATATAGGTAGGCTTTAGACAAAAGCCCCTGTCTAATTCTCCAGGTAGTATAAGTGGGCTTTAGACAGAAACTCCTAATTGCATGTTTTAGGAGAACATTTAAGCTAAAATGATGGTGCTCATGTTCTCTGGTATACACTGGCAGCCCTCAGCTGCCTTTGGCTTATGTCGAAGCAGACATAATAGGGTTTTCTAAAGAAAAGATTGGCTCTGTCCTTCGCCTCACCCTACCCTGGCTTCTTCATTTTCATGAGACCCTCGCCCTGCCCCTTCATTTTCATGAGACCCTCGCCCTGCCCCTGCTGTGCACTTATTCAGACATGCCCAGCATGCTTCCCTCTTGGAGCCTTTGACCAACTGTTCCTGCTGCACTTCTCACATGTATATCATAGGGTTTCCTAGATATCTCATATCATGCTGGTTTCTGTGCAAATGTTACAATATCAGACAGGTCTTCCGTGATGACCCTTTGTAGAGAGCACCCTTCCACTGCCCATCATCTTGTCCTGCTTTATTTTTCTCCATAGCATTTATCACCATCTAACATTTGTTTATGGTCTTTCTACCACCACTAGAATATTTGACTCCATGAGAATGGCTGTTTGGGTTTGTTTTTTTTTTTTATTCATCTGAATTCATGAAAAGTTAACGACTTGAAAAATGATCAAGATATTGTATTTAGTGACCTTGAAATTTATATTAGTCCATTCTGCAGTATCTTTGCATTTGTCCTTACTATTAACAAATTTTAGAGCAGGTGGAAGTTTAAAAAGGACAACATATGTAGTTATTCTTCAGTTAGGTTTAAGAAGTGCCAGGTGGTTTATTTCAACTCAGTTACTTGGTATGTTGCATTTTTGTGAACCACAATGGCAAATTGCTATAAAGTTGTAGCATTTTGTATAGTTGAAGTTGTGTACAATTTTTAAGAAAAGCAAATTATGACTAGGACCGTGATCTTTTCTTACTTACAAAGGTCACATCTTTTAGCAGTCTTTCCAATTCTAGATGTGAATGTCAAATGCTATGAGATCTAAGAATGTAATTGAAAGACTGAGAGGTTCTTTCTTTCTGCCCCTTTGGGCAATTGATTTTCACATGAAAGAAACAGAGCAGCTGTTGGGCATAACTCTGGATTGCCTTCCCCTCTTTGACTTCCAACATCTTATCTTCATATTTTGAATTCTTTAGTGATAAAAGAATGCTTCAGATGCACAAGCAAAGCACACACTGTTAGAGAAAAATACATCTCAACATTCTTTGGTAGCAAGTGAATTTATTTCTTAGTGGCACAACTTTATTTAACTGCACCGTAGCATTTCAGACACCTGGGGTGTATGAAAGCAATGTTTACAAACCTTGGTCAATCTGTAACACACTGTGAAGCATTCCCCTAACTTAAGCAGGTCATATTCTGTTGTCACCATCTGTCCACATGCACAGCTGACTGTGGTTGTGGAACGATCTAATGCTAAAAAATTCTTTCCTATACTGAGCTGAAATCACCCATTTTGCAGGCAGTTTTTCAGAATCTGGATGAAAGGATTCATTCTGTATTGAATTTGAAGCTTGTTATATGCACCAAAAATTTCTGATTTAGGACTTTTAGTCCTAAAAAAGTCCTAGGACTTTTAGACCTAAAAAAGTCCTAGGACTTTTAGTCTTTTTTTCATCTTCCATGCAGTGTACTAACTACTCTTTCCAGCTGTTTCAAATGGCAGATTTGATAAGAATAGCTTCTAGTTAAATAACTAGTTTATGTCTTTGACTTTAAAAAAATGTTGTGGAGATCAATAGCAGACAGGAAGCCCTGCGGCAAGAACCTTCTCTCCAAGCTGACCTTATCTTACTCAAGACTCTTTGGGTAAAGTTATTCATCCAGTAGTTAATGTATCAAATTATATTATCATCTAACTCACCTCTCGCAGTCTCGTCTACCGTGTTTCCCCGAAAATAAGACCGGGTCTTATATTTATTTTTCCTCAAGAAGTCACCCTAGGGCTTATTTTCAGGGGATGTGTTATTTTCTCCTCAAAGCCTCAGGACCTGACAGGGGGAGACGACCTTGTTGGTGGGGCTGTCCGCACCTTTCCGGTCACCTCTGGGATAGTAGCTGTCATGATGGGGCAGATGAGACGGGCTGCTCGTCTTCTTCACTGCTCAGCAACAAAATGCATGGGTTGTGCAGATGGCTGCGTAGCCAGCCCATCACTAGGTCTTGTTTTCGGGTAGGGCTTCTATTGCAAATGCTTAGAAATCCTGTAGGGCTTATATTTATGCGTAGGTCTTATTTTCCGAACACGGTACAAGGATGTTTTGAGACACTTTCTCAGACACCTGCTGAAGTCTTTCTCCTGATGTAAGGTTGTGACTCCTCCAAAAAAGAAGAGGAGGTTGATTTGCTAAGCCTTGCTTTTGCTGTAAGCATCCTGATGTCTGTTGACGCCATTTCCCATCTTCAGTGCCAATAAAACCATGAGTATAATACTCTCTTCTAGGAGAAGAGATTATTCTGGAACTAATATTGTATTCCTTACTCTGTTGAAACCTGAAGGAGGCAAGTTGATCTGTTTGGGCAAAATAGAGGATTTAGAAATTTGAAAAATAGATTAATAAGTTGAAAAGACATTGTATGGTGAGCATATTAAGCCTATAACGGAGCCCAAGTTTCAAACTGATAGATAATAGGAAGCAAAGGAAAATGTCTGGAGGAAGGGTTTTAAAACACAAGAGGAGAAAAATGTGTGGAAATATTGAGGTATTTTAAGAGGAGTCTTTTTTTAATACGTTCTGGAGTGAGCAGTGGAGAGCCTTGTTTCAGTAAGAAAGTGAGGGAATGGATAGAGCATTGTGGAAAAGATTCCCTTGTACTTAGTGACTGTCAGCATGTAAAGTTTGAAAGGAAAAGAAAAATAGACAATTAAGAGCTCTAGGGCAGAGCACCTAAAGGACTGAGGAGATTCATGGCCACTGATAGCCATTGGGAAGCCAGGGAACAGCAAGATTTTAGGAAAGAAATAAGATCAGTTCAACATTTTTTCCCCAGTTCAACAAGTCATATAAATATACAACAGAAAGTGTGAAAAATCAGAGAAAATAAAACATACCCTTTACCCATACTATAATATGTAAACAACAAATATTATCATTTTTAATATTATGCAGTCTTTTTAATGCATTTATGTTGTTTACATATAGTTTGTATCCTGTTTTTTTCAGCTGTCATCAAATTATACATAATATTATATGTTTTTTCCTGGTGCTAAACGGCCTTCATAAATACTGCGTTAATGACTGCTTACTGGTTATCAAAATAATGTATTTATTTTGATAATTTATATTGGACCGGTATTTCTAACATTTCCAGGTGCTGCCAAAGCAATCACATTTGAGCTGCAAGCCTATGTTTCTATTTGTGGTGGCTAAGAAATGAGGTGCTCCAGATCCTGGCTGTATTTTTTATTGTTAGAAGATGGCGAAAACTAGTTGGAGGGTTGGCTTAATGATGGTGGTAATATAGAAAGCCGTAATTGGCGTATTTGGAAGTCAGTGTGCATATGGATTTTAGGAGTTGAGCAAGGTGGTAGGCTATGGATCTTTTGACTTGTTTGGTGCTTAAATTTTTGGGCTGTGTGGATTTTTGCACTTTTGGTAGTCTCTGGTTTGAGA